AATAATTGTAAACTCTAAACCCTATACACTAACTCTAGTCAAAACTGGTAACTCATAAGAAAATGTAAACACTAATTGCGGATTGGTGAACCTATATGATAAATTTATAAATGCTAAACCTCAAACCCTAAATGGTAAACCCTAGTTAAGGATTGGTGGTCCCATGGAAAAAATCATAAAATACATTAAAAATAAATGCTATTGGATTAAACATTTGTTTGATATAATTTAAAATACAGTAGAAACCTCTAATGAAGGATTGATGAACCTTACAAAAAAAATGTAAACTCTAAAATACAGTAGGTAATCAACTACTTAAACACTGACACTAATCCTAAATACTAAACCCTAATCAAGTACTAATGAACCCTTGCAAATAATTGTAAACTCTAAACCCTATACACTAACTCTAGTCAAAACTGGTAACTCATAAGAAAATGTAAATACTAATTGCGGATTGGTGAACCTATATGATAAATTTATAAATGCTAAACCTCAAACCCTAAATGGTAAACCCTAGTTAAGGATTGGTGGTCCCATGGAAAAAATCATAAAATACATTAAAAATAAATGCTATTGGATTAAACATTTGTTTGATATAATTTAAAATACAGTAGAAACCTCTAATGAAGGATTGATGAACCTTACAAAAAAAATGTAAACTCTAAAATACAATAGGTAATCAACTACTTAAACATTGACACTAATCCTAAATACTAAATCCTAATCAAATACTAATGAACCCTTGGAAACAATTGTAAACTCTAAACCCTATACGCTAACTCTAATCATAATTGGTAACTCATATAAAAATGTAAACCCTAATTGCGGATTGGTGAACCCATATGAAAAATTTATAAACTGTAAACCTTAAACCCTAAATGGTAAACCCTAGTTAAGGATTCATGAACACATGGAAACAAAATCATAAAATTCATTAAAAACAAATGTTATTGGATTAAACATTTGTTTGATGTAATCTAAAATACAATATAAACGTCTAGTCCAGGAATGATGAACCCTTTGAAAATATTGTAAACTCTAAAATACAGTATGTAAACTAATTAATCGTTGACACTTAATCCTAACTAATCCCTAACAAGTACTACTGAACCCTTGGAAAAAATAGTAAACTCTAAACCCTATACACTAAACTCTAGTCAAAAATTGGTAACTCATAAAAAATGTAAACCCTAAATGCGGATTGGTGAACCCATATGAAAAATTTATAAACCCTAAACCTCAAACCCTAAATGGTAAATCCTAGTTAAGGATTTGTGAACCCATAGAAAAAAATCATAAAATATTTTAAAAACAAATGTTATTTGATTAAACATTTGTGAGAAACCTCTAGTCAAGGATTTATAACCCTTTGAAAATATTGTAAACTCTAAAGCCTAAAACTGAATATTGTTCTGCATTCATTCACCCGAACTAAAATATTATATTATAGTCTTCAACTAATTTTTTTATAAAGTAAGAGTTTCTAATTCACATTTGATTGAGTGTACGCGACAATATATAATGTACCCAAAAATAGTGTACACACCAATATATAGTGTACGTGCCAATATATGTTGTACCAATATATGATTCTAGTATTCCTAGCTATTTTTTAATATCAATGTAGATTTATATATCATTTCCACAAAAAGTGATGTACCTACACACTATTATATGGTGTACGCATAGTAGTGTACACTAAATATTAGTGTACGTGCAAAAGAGAAATACTTGTATTATAAATAATAAATAATTAATAATGAAAATACTAAATGTTAAACCCTAGTTAAGGTTTGATGAACCCATGCAAAACAATTTTAAACGCTTAATCCTAAACACTAAACTCTAGTAAACAATTAGTGAATTCATGGAAAATTGTAGCTCCTAGTGGCGGATTTGTGAATATATAGGGAAAAATTATAAATGCTAAAACCTAAATGGTAAACCCTAGTCAAGGATTAAGCCATGGGAAAATGTCATAAACCCTTTCCCTAAATCCTAAACTCTAATCAAGATAGGTGAATCAATGGGGAAGAATCATCAATGTCAAACCTTAAACCATGAAAAATTATATATGTGTTATATTGTGTATAAGGATTTGTGACCCTTGAAAAAAATCATAACCCTAAACCTAAACTATAGGAAAAATATATGTGTACTTTTTTTTGTCTAAGTCAATGTAAAACTGTTTAGAGGCTTACTAATTTTTTTATAGGTTGTCCATTAAACAAAATGCTATGTAAAGAAGGAAAATGGTTTAAGAGGTATTTTGAAGAAATGTTTCATAATTTTTTATGACGTACTGAATTTAACATATGTTTATTTATGGTGTTCCTTAGAACCTCTCCTTTTTTCATCGCCAGGTTAAAAAAATTAAGAGATTTTACAAAAGGAGAATAGATTGACCATACCATTTTTCATATGTAAAAAATGTTTGGTCCGAAAATTCTGGAATAATAGAAATTGTTGACGCAATATAACAATGAAAAATTATTTTTTAAAAGTTAAATGATCACCAAATTTGTAGGTATATTGTATTTAGTGTTATGGGTAATATGTGGATGCCCATCAGCCCATTAGGCTCACTACACTTGTACTACATGTTCTCCTTGTACCCTAGCTTTGTACTCTATATAAGAGCTCATCTACTCATGAATAACATCATTCCATTCTTTCATTTCACAACACGTTATCAGCACGAGTCTCTACCTCTTAGCTTTAAATTTCTCTCAAAATCAAATCTCCTCATAGTTCTTATTGTTATTATTATTATTATTTTTTTTTATACAAGATTCAGTGAGTAATTTCTATTACTTTGTTGATTTGTGTTTATGCTACTAAAATCCATTTTTATCAATATTTTATCAATATTACTTATTGATAATATTTTGGATTCAACAAAGACATGTTATATATTTTTGTTTTTAATATCTAATAATATTATATCCCTGAAGGATTTATATTTTATGAATATCCCTGGAGGATTTATATATTATTTTTCCTTGAAGGAATTATATATATATATATCCCTGAAGGATTTATAAATATTTCTATTTTATTTCTATTTTATGTATATCCCTGAAGGATTTCTATTTTATTTATATCTCTAAAGAAATTATATTTTATTTATATCCCTGTAGGATTTATATCTTATTTGTATCATAGAAAGATTTATATTTCAATACATTCCAGAAGAAATAATTTATTTTATTTACAAAGATCACAGATGGATTTATATAATTTATTTGTATTTCCAGAAGAAATTATATATTTTATTTATATATCCTAATAGGATTTATATCTCTGTTATCCTAGAAGGATTTTTTTTTTATTTTTATTTTCCTAGAAGGATAAATATATTTCAACTAAATATCCTAGCAGGATTTATAAATTTTATTTAAATTATTTATCCCAGAAGGATTTTATATTGTCTATTATTATTTGCATTTATAGATATATATTGTTCTTATTTATTTATGTTTTGCTTTTCAATATTTGTTATTTTAATTTATTTTCGTAATTAATTAATTTCTAAGTAAAATAATTATTGAAAATTGAAGAACTTTGAATTAATTTGCATTGTTTGCATTAATTTGAAATATTCTTGCATTGATCACTTGACCATATTAAATTGTTAATTTGACCATTTGATCACAATTTTGATTATAATTAATGTGTATGCTAGAATCACTCTGAAATTATTTATGTTGAATGTTATAAATTTTAATGTTTGTTGAGTAACTGGTCTTTAAATCACTTAATTATATTTTGAAATGAATCTTGATAGTCTTGTTAAATAATATTATTTGATTATTGCAACATATCTTCATATGACATTGATATTGCTTATCATATTTTATTATTTGATCTCATTTGCTAATCATATATTTTATCATTGCATATCTGAAAAAAGTAAAATAATAATATTCTCAATGTTAGATATAAATCAGTGATTATTTCCTTCATTTGTTTTTATTATTGGTTTGATTTGGTTTTACAAATAAATTATTATTTACTATTTAAATTAATCCATGATTATTGATTAAGTAATAGCATCATTGTTTATATGATATGTCTAGATTATATTTAGATTAATGAGTGTATTTATCTATCAATACATGATTTTAAAATGTAATATTTTATCATAAACTAAAAAAAAAGACATAATCACCAAAAGTGATATGATCTAATATAGCAATTTAAAGAAAATGAATTATCACCTAAAGTGATATGAATTAATAGAGCAATCTAAAGATAATTATTTCATCTAGAAACATATAAACTAGAAGTTTATAAGTGAAGATAATACTACTAATGCAAAGATGTTAAAATACATCATACAAATATTGTTGTCTTGTAGACACAATATTATTAATAAACTAGGAGAGAACCCGCGCAATGCGCGGGCAGATGTTTTATATTTTGATTTTAGCGAGTTATTGTTGTTGTACCGTGGTAATGGTACTTTGTCTTGTTTGGTTACTTTTATATTTTAGCTAAAATAATAGAAATTGAGCAAATCATACCTTTTCCAAAAAATTATGATAGTAGCTTGTAGAAATCATTATAGTAAAAAATTATGGATTTAATCTTAAAAACTCTGGTCTTTTGCTGCTTATGCTTTCTTGTAATGGCCTAGAGAGTCTTGGATCTTTTCTTCTTTGTTTATAATCGAACTTGTTTTCTCTTATAGAAAACTCAGATTAACTCTATTTAACACATTAATTGGATTTAGTTGACCTTAAGAACAGCCTCTTAGTTAACTGACCAACCAAACGGTCCCAGTAACCAAGTTAATGCCGCAGTAATCAAACTAAAACGTATTGGGAAATAATAATCAGATTTAAAAGACGGCTTACAATATCTTCTCCATACAAATGCAGAAAAAGAAGATCAAGAGCCAAATTATACAATTTTCTACATAAAACAGACTGTTAAATGTTAATGCTGCTACTCTGTTTAATCCTACGATCATGTTTCCTACTATACCCAACACCATGACCATCAATACCTATAATGAGACTTACGATCTCAGCCTTAAGCTTCCTCCTTGTCATAATCTTCCTCATCCTCGTCTAACCTCTTACCCATACTTGCAAGCTGCATTGGATCAATATTCCTCTGGTTTCATTTCACGCGAGGTTGTGGCTTCCAACGGCTTTATCTCCATGTCGACCGACTGTGCGTTCAGATCAAAACCCTGACCCAACAAAACCCTGAGTCTGTCTCATTAATACTTTCCTTCCGAATTTGCATCTCTTGCTTTGGGTGGTCAGACATGTCATCCATACCTTCTTGTTGATATCTTGCGATGGTGGTTGTAGTGGTGGTGCTAACAATACGGTTGGCTCTATTTCCATCTCGCGGTGAAGAAGCTCTCTTTCTCCTGTTGGCTCTGAATTTCTTCTCGAGCAAAGAACAAATGGGGGAGATTAGTTAAACGGGGTGTGGATGGATCATTTTTATATGGGAAGGGGATAATTGAAGGCGACGAACGGTTACCTTGAGAGTTATAAGCGGCCATTACTGATGTATGTAACGGCGGAAGGGGAGGTGGAAAGTCTCAGCGGATGGAGGCAGGCGAGAACTGGAATCGAGTTCCGATTACAACCTGGCGAGGAATTTTTTTTTTTAATTCAGGACGACGTCGTTTTGGAGTAATTCGGGGGAAGGTTAAAAAATAGGTTAAAATGAGTAACAAAACGACGTCGTTTTGGAGGCAGTGGGAGGGTACCAAAACGACGTCGTTTTGGTGTCGGGAAGCGAAAAAAAAAAGAAGGTGCCACGTGTCCCGAGCATGAGAGTGTCCAAGCCTTATTAGTTATGTAGATTTGAGAAATACTTTTGTCTTGTAGACACAAAAATATTATAATATTGAAAAGTATTTTAAAATATTATTGTTTTACTGACAAAATATGACAATCTTTCACTTGAAGTGATACTAAAACGGTAATGTTATTAATATTATTATTTTTTTCATTATGCTTTGTTTATATATATATATATATATATATTTGATAATATTTTTTTAATTTTTCTACTATCCTCTACATGAATATCTTGTATTTACATCTAAGATTACAAGATAATGAATATCTTCTCTATAAATGATTTTTATTTATCTGGAAGATAATATATATTAATGATGATAAAAGGCATACATTTTAGATAAATAATATTGTCCAGCAATATTATTAAAGAAAGTTTAAAAATTATTTTGATAAAATAATGAGTTACTGATAAAAATCTTGAATCTTGTCTAATTGGTTTTGATTTATTCCCTGAAGTGAATGTGATATAAATGATTAAAGATATGATTATAGACATGAATATAAATATTTTATCGTTAATGTTAAGGTCAAAACCAAAGAGTTTTACTTTAAGAACTTAAATCCCTCAATCACTAGAAAGTGAAACATCTAGAAGATTATGTTCACAGTTAAGATAATCATATATAATGTAATTCATTGGTGTAAAATTATATTGAAAAAATAACATAATTATCTAATGCCTCATCATAGACAAAAATTATAGAGGAGATAAAAATGTTATGTAGTAAACTAGAAGTTTACCAAATATAACATAGTTTGACATGAGCTGGTTAGACCATTTCAGTTCAAGATATTATGTAAAATAAAATACATCATGTATATCTCAATATTACATATCTGCAACCTGAAGTTTGCGAGATTACTTGGTAGTGCTAGTTAAATCACATCTTAAATCTTTGTTGAGAAAAACATGTTTGTAAGAATAAATGTTGAACATCCAATAGCAAATGTTCATAATTACACATAATGCAAAAGCATTAATTCGCATAAAGCCAATGAATAACTAAAGTTTCTCCCCAACGTAATTGGTTTAGGTCAGAAACCAAAGTTTTCCATCTAAAGATCTATGGATGTGCAAAATACATTCATAATGCTCCACCACAACAATATAAGATGGACCCTCGAAAGGGATAGTAAATAGGCTATCCATGAAGGATTTAAATATGGCTCAATTTGTAGACTGTCATTTTAGTAGGTCAGTTTTTCCAACATCAGGGGGAGAAAATAAAACAGCTGGAGAAAGATTAAAGTTAGAATGAATTATCATTGATCCTCAGACAATAGTATATGAAATAAAAGTCTAAAAGATAATTCATTCACAAAACTTATTGTATCAATTGCCAGATACAATTACTGACCCAAATATAGTGTTGAGTCACTTACCAGCTGTAAATGCTCTAATAAGAAATTGATCCCAGAAGGACAATATCAAACTGCTAGTAAGTCTAAAGATCACATGAAGTGTGATAGACTTGTTGGTTCCAAATATTAGTTACCTCGGTAAAGTAAAATGAGCATAAATTAATAATGGTTAAACCGAGGAAACAAATGTTTTTGAAATGATCTCAAGAAGAGACATTAAACATGACAAGAAAGAAATTCAGGTACCTGAGACAAAGAAGAGATCTCGAGAATTAATTATGTCATGTATGAATAAAATGGAACCATAAAAGCAAATCGACGTCGTAAATAAAATATTTGCATGCATTCTAGCAGTTGATGTTATGAATAAGAAAGAGGATCAAGAAACAAAGTCTATTGCATTGTGTACACAAATTAATGATTTGGCCAAATCGAAAAGAAGCAATAGACATAAAACTGAAATCTCTTAGAAAGAGAAATGCATTGGACCAGAAGTAAAATGAGCATAAATTAATAATGGTTAAACCGAGGAAACAAATGTTTTTGAAATGATCTCAAGAAAAGACATTAAACATGACAAGAAACAAATTCAGGTACCTGAGACAAAGAAGAGATCTCGAGAATTAATTATGTCATGTATGAAATAAAATGGAACCACAAAAGCAAATCGACGTCGTAAATAAAATATTTGCATGCATTCTAGCAGTTGATGTTATGAATAAGAAAGAGGATCAAGAAACAAAGTCTATTGCATTGTGTACACAAATTAATGATTTTGCCAAATCGAAAAGAAGCAATAGACATAAAGCTGAAATCTCTTAGAAAGAGAAATGCATCTGGACCAGAAGTAAAATAAGCATAAATTGATAATGGTTAAACCGAGGAAACAAATGTTTTTGAAATGATCTCAAGAAGAGACATTAAACATGACAAGAAAGAAATTCAGGTACCTGAGACAAAGAAGAGATCTCGAGAATTAATTATGTCATGTATGGAATAAAATGGAACCATAAAAGCAAATCGACGTCGTAAATAAAATATTTGCATGCATTATAGCAGTTGATGTTATGAATGAGAAAGAGGATCATGAAACAAAGTCTATTGCATTGTGTACACAAAGTAATGATTTGGCCAAATCGAAAAGAAGCAATAGACATAAAACTAAAATCTCTTAGAAAGAGAAATGCATTTGGACCAGAAGTCCTTACACCTTAAAAAGTGTAAAACAAGTGGGTTATAATAGGCATGTGGTGGATGCAACTTTCAAGTTCATTAAGTGTGGCAATGAAAGAAGAACTTGCTTGACACTTTTATAAAAGTCCCTGAAGGATATAATTCCTGAAGAATTAATGATATCAAAACTATGAAGAACTCTAATTATTTGATCAAATGAAGAGAAATATCTCTCAGTGGGGTACAATCACAAAAGTGATATATATACATACATATATAATCAGTACCCACTGTATATTTATAAAAATATTAAGGTTGGATCAAAAGAGATCTTAATCTAAACATTATCGAAATTCTTGAAGAATTGTCGAAATTAGATAAAAGATATTGGAAAGACAAATTTGTCTTAAGATATCTCATATTCACAGTTTAACAAAAGATATATTATCTCAAAAGATCCTTGTAAGATTTGCATTAAAAATGCTCACATTTGGTCTTGAAGTACCACACTTTAAATTATATTTGAAAATGTGTTGGTCTTTTCATAACTGAAAGATGAGAACAAAATGAGCATAAGATAACTCATATACAAGAATGTATATAAAGAGAAAGTTTGGCCAGAAGTCCAAATATAACAAGAAATGATTGTTTATAGAAAAAGATGTCATATACTAGAAGTTCAAATGACTTTCATTGAGGTTATACTTATAGCAATCTCCAAAAGATGATATTTATTATTGGAATGCATCTCTTGAAGAAGATGCTTCCAAAGGGGAGATATAAGATGATATGTGTGGTTGTACTCTTTTTCCTTATTGTGGTTTTTATCCCATTGGGTTTTTCCATGAAAGGTTTTAATGAGGCAACAAAGAACACACAAATGAGAAACATTTAAAAGGAAGTTAAAGATGAAAGTTATCTCTTTCCAAAGTCTTGTCATCCATTTATGAGATCAAGTGAAACAAAGAGAATGATCAAGATGAATCATCAACTACTTCCATGCACTACTGAAGAATGGCGATATCAAAGTTCTAAGATTGTTCAAGAGAAGATTTTCCAAGATTCTTCATCAAGGCACATCCGTTTGCTGTTTTCAAGAAGCTAATTCGTGATATTGGATGGAATCATCTCAAAGATTTAGACGGATGTTCTCATGAGGGGGAGTAATGACGCTACTCTTTTTCCTTAGCTAAAGTTTTTTCCATTGGGTTTTCCTAGTAAAGGTTTTAACGAGGCAGCAATTTACGCATTTAGAAGATATTTTAGATAATGGACATCCAAGGGGGAGTGTTATGGGTAATATGTGGATGCCCATTAGCCATAGGTCCACTTCTCTTTTGTCTCTTCTCCTTGAAACCCTATGTTTGTACTCTATATAAGAGCTCATCTACTCATGAATAAGACAATTCCATTCTCTCATTTCACAACATTCTCTCATTTCACAACATTTAGACAATTATAAAGAGAAAACTTTATATTTTTCTAAATTTTAACAAAATAAAGAGCAAATTTTATTCTCCCTCCGTTTCAAATTAGTTGTCGTTTTGGCAAAATATATCTGCAAATATTTGGACATATCTACAATGCAAAAGATATCCAGATACGTCTAAATATTTGCAGATACATTTTGCCAAAACGACAACTAATTTGAAACGGAGGGAGTAACATGAAATCCGCTTGTACCGCGGCATAACACCTAGTATTAAAAAATAAAAAAAATAAAAGAATAACCTTATGTTCATGTATTATTAACAGAACTGCCATACTATGTGTCAACACCAGAATTGTTTTCAGGAAAATATAAAAAAAGACATCACTTATTAGAATAGTTACATACAATTCCAGTAGTACACTATTTTTATTTAGTTACAAATATTAAGCATTTGCATATATCTTCCATTGACAACATAAATAATATATGAAAAAATTATTATAAAATATTTTAAAAAATGAAAACTGAAAGAAATATTTCGAAATCAATTAAAGAGTTTTCTAAATATATAAGATTTGTTAACATATTCATTTTTATATAAGTATATAACCAATTGATCCTTTTTATATATTTCCACTTAAAAAACTAAATTATAAAAATATTTTAAAAGTCAAATACTGATAGAAATATTTCGAAATGAGTGATACATTTTTTTTTCAGTATAATGAATTTATTGAACATGTATATATAATGAATTTAATTGTAAACATATTTTTCCAGTATATAATTTCATACAATATTAAAACTCATTTTACTGTTCTAAAAAATAACATTTGAATTTATGAAACAACCAACATTTTTTTTAAAAATTAAATACTAAACAATTCTAGCGAATGTCTTTAAAATAAATCAAATAAATAATTCAAATAACAATATTAAATCAGTTCAGCGGAAATAAATAATTAAACAAGTCTAACAAAACAATACCAAATAAATAAAAATAGTAAACATCCTATCATCCCCCTCTTCAGCCTTGATTCCGCGATCACACAAATCTTTTACCTGCAACACATTGGAATGAAGTTACATAAGTATTACTTAGTGAGTCAATCACTCTGCCTACGAGCCAGTTACGCAATTACTAAATATTTAATAATATAGATAAACTCCAATAATTATTAAATACTGTTTTCAAATTATTAAATAATTCTTAATAATTAAATAATAATTTTCCATAATTAAAATATAATTATTTTAAACTATTTAATTAATTTAATACCAAATATTTAATTAAATACCACATTAAACCAATCCAATTCGGATAAACCATTTTCAATTGAATTAAACCAGCCAATTTCAATTATACCAATTAAATCGATTTAAACCGGAGATAAACGGCTTGTGTCGACCGACACACGATTTCTGTCGCTCGACACCGTCCCCAGAAACACACAGTTCGATCTATGAACAGTAACCAATTTACATGAAATCACAGAAATCATCAACACATCTCAAATCAATCACGAAACACATCCATAACCACATAAAACACTACATCATCACACACAAATCCTGAATCTAGTAATTACGGACCCACAGTCATTCACTCACCTCGATTTTAGGTTGAAAAGAGGGGAAATCGGATTGAAGAAGATGAACTGACAAAGAACGACAACGCAACCGCCACCAAACACGACCGAGGCTCCAAAACCACGACGAACAAGCCTCAATTGGTCGACCAACACCTCAAATCACCTCAAATCTCTTCTCCTCTCCAAAATCGTTCGCTAAAGGACAAAAATGAGGAAGAGGAAGCGGATGCGCGACTTTTTATCCAAGTCCCAAGGGTTTCCGCCCTAAACCGGGTCTAAACCGGATTTCAATTGACTCAATCGACCCGGTCGGATTTTCAATAACCGGTGTCGACCGACACACATCACTTGTGTCGCTCGACACCAACATCTCAACACGAGAGATTGGTCTACGGATGTTACAGCTCTCCCCCACTAAACTGGATTCGACCTCGAATCCCAACACAAAACGGCACAAAGACCACAAAATCCGACCTCGCAAGGCCGCAACACTGGAGATCCTCACCTGATCCCGGAGACATATGATATACCTCTATTTTACATGCTTTTTATATGGTTTTACTATGCTTTTCATAAGGTTTTTAATGGCTTTCTGATCTAAAAAGGTAGTTTTTATGGATTTATAGTACTTAGAGTCTAAACAGGTCAAAAGATGCATTTTGGAGCAAAACACAGGATTTGGACTTCAAGACCACTCCAAGACGTAGCATCAACTTAAGAAGGGCCTTAAAAACATTCTACTCAATGGACTTCATCAAATCCAGTTCGAGGCGATGCATACGTGAGTTAGCTTTGCAACGCAACTGGAATCAATCAATTTGACCGAGTAGATTGGGAGATATCTCTATTTCCCTGAGACATATACCGAGGAGCTTTATCGGACTGCATCAGTACATCAGACGAGCAGCAGCGGCTTGGACCCTTAAACTCAATGGATTTCAATGAAACTCTACCCAAGATAGGCAGATGAGTTAGTGTTCCAATGCCGTTGGAAGTATGCAATTTGGATGAGCCGTTTAGGAGATATCACGTTTGTACTGAAGACTGGTCCACAGCCGGCCGAACGCACTCGGCCGGACAGGAAGGGAATTGGCTTCGCTCGGCCTTCTCCAGGACCGATCCGGCCGCACGACCGCACCGTCCGAGCCGGGAGGCAATGGACCACGATCGACCGAGAACATCACATCACGGCCGACCCCGACGGCCGACCACATCCCTTACACGGTCGACCCGATCTCCGCGAACAAGAAGCCCACTTATGCAGTTTTGACAATTCTCAGCCCGTTTAACCTCAACCGACTTGTGGAAGACCTAGGGCACTATAAATACTCTTTTTTAGCCTCTTTAGAAGAGAGCCGCATAGAGAGTCACACAGGAGAAGAGCTACAAGAGAGAGGCGCACTAGGGAGCTCCCCTTAGAGGGATCTCCATTGTTTTACTTCTTTCTCATTGTTTTCCTTAGGGAGAAGATCCCTTCTTTGTATCTCGACATAGAGAAGCTTTCTAAACCCTTTTCTCCTTATATTAATATGATTTCTATCTCAGATCTATGCTTGTTTACTTGCACCATGTTTGAGTAGATTTCTAGTTAGGTTTTAGGGTTTCAAAGAGTTCATGTGTTGATTATGATTTGATGAATTAACTAGGGATATCATTAGAGTCTTTGTCTCGTTTTGCACACTTAATTAATGCTAATCACTTTACCGTACATCTAGTGATTCGATCTTAGGTTGATTTGAGCCTCGAAAGTGTTGTATCATTCGCCGGACATATTCTTTGACAAGCTAGGTTTCTTAGACTGCGAAAGTTGATTTACTATAACCTAGTGAACTGTATCCGAACTTGCTCGATCTAATGCTTGATTTAATCACCTAGGGACATACCAAAAGTTTAGCGACTAGGTAGATTAACAAAGGAACCGGAGCCTCGACAGTGGAATGGTTTTACATTCGTGTTTGGTGTTCTAGACGGATCTTACATCCCATATCCCTAAATAGATATAAATCAATCATCAATCTTATCATATATGAATCTCTGCGAATTACCTATTGCCTAGCGTCTTTCCCACATTGAACTTACACCGCTTTCATATTGCTTTCTTTTAGTTTAGTTCTTTTGCATACCAAAACCCCAATTCATCCTCTTGTCCTAGCTAAGTTAGACTTGCATAGCTTGTAGTGCACTTATCTGCTCCTTGTGTTCGATAACCCGTTACTACACCTGACCTGTGCACTTGCAGAATCAGGGATAGGAATAGGTAAAACCTGATCCCGCATCAAGTTTTTGGCGCCGTTGCCGGGGAGCAATACAGCTGCCTACGAGTTCCCAAGAATAGCTTAGTCTAGGAATTTAGTTTTAGTAGTTTTTGCATTTGATTTCTAGTTTTAGTTGTTTTTCATTCTTCACTTGTTTTAGTTTTTGTTTCAATTTCGCTTTAAGCCTTTATCTTTGTGTGTTTCAGGTGCAAACTTGATTATAAGATGAAAGCTATGATCTTTGGCTAGACACTATAAACACAGTAAAACTACCTTTTTAGATAGAAAACCTGCCAAAAACCATTAGAAAACAATGCTAAAACAGTATAAAAAGTGTAAATTAGAGGTATATCAACTCCCCCAGACTTAGATCTTTGCTTGTCCCAAGCAAAAAGAATCTAAATCCGTGAAAGAGGTTTGAAAACGTGGAAACTCCCTTGCTCTTTTGAATATCCTGTGAAAGGTTCCTTTCCTGTATTCCACTAAGAACATAGACAACATAAGGTTAGCTTCACATACACCCTGCAAGTTTAGCGAACAATACCAACCCAACTAGTCTCATCCAGCAATCCAAACTCTCTATTGCTAACCTCTTGCATAAATTTAAAGCGTGAATTCTTTATCAAGGGGACATCGATCAATTGAACTTGTTCTTACCCACTTGATCTTCTCCAAGATTGTCTTTAAGTGCAATGAGTTCTTTTCCTCTCTCTTTCTCACATCAGAACTTTGAAAGGTCAATTTCTCCCTACTTTTCTAGGGTATCATTTTATTTTTTCTATTGACCCTTCTTTCAACCACAGGATAAGTCTTTAGCTTGTTCCTTGTTTGACTAAGGTATTCCATAAGACATGAAGGTACAGACATATGCATTCCTCATGCTTACTTGTTTTCCTTGTGCTCTTTGAGCTTTTTCTCATATATTACTTACCATTTGGGATGGGAGAGAGAGGAGAACTCTTTAAAGATTAGACAAATCTTATTGAAAATCAAGCAAGGAACTGTCGACATGTATGCCAACCCCCTTGACAAGAGTAATTAAGATTGATTAAGGGTGAGGTTAACTCTAGATTGCTTGGTTACCTTAGAAATTTTGCTGAGCTAGCATGTCGATCCACTGTAAGAGCTTCTGTTAGGCTTGTGCCTTTAGCTGGTTTCTGCTCTAGGGTCATGGATTGTTAGCACAACACTCTCAATTCTCAAAGCAAGTTCATAACTTCCGGACTGGTTTTTGACTCAATAAAACTTTTTGAAAAACATGAAACAAAGTGAATAAAACATAAGAAAAGAAAGAAAAATGCATTAGTAACACAATAAAACTCCCCCCAGACTTAACTTGCACCGTCCCGGTGAAAGCAAATCACATTAAGGTGAGAGGTAATATTCAAAAAAGAAAATTAAAGAAAGAAAATGAAAAGAAATGACCTTCAATGGGTTGCCTCCCATTCAGCGCTTTGTTTAAAGTCATTAGCTTGACTGTATGGCACTTCCTTAAGGATCTGGTGGATCGCCAAGCCAGTGTGGTCTCCTGTGGTATGGTGGTGGAAGCTAGGTAGGGTTTTAACCTTTGTCCATTGACTGTAAAGTCTCCTCCCATTGGGTCCCATAGTACCACTGCTCCATAGGGGCGAACTTCTTTAATCCTGAATGGTCCTGACCATCTTGAGCGAAGCTTTCCTGGAAAGAGTTTCAACCTTGAGTTGAATAGTAGAACTTGGTCGTTTGGCGCAAAGTTCTTTGGGATGATCTTGCGGTCATGGAAAGCTTTGGTTCTCTCCTTATAGATCTTTGAATTCTCATAAGCCAGATGCCTAATCTCATCAAGCTCATTTAGCTGAATCAATCTTCTTTCTCCTGCTGTCTTTAGGTTGAAGTTCAACTCCTTAATAGCCCAAGCTGCTTTGTACTCCAGCTCTACAGGTAAATGACATGCTTTACCATAAACAAGATGAAAGGGGGTGGTACCAAGTGGTGTTTTGAAGGCAGTGCGGTATGCCCATAGAGCATCATCTAGTTTGGCACTCCAATCCTTTCTTGTCTTGCCTGTTGTCTTCTGAAGTATGCTCTTGAGTTCTCTGTTTGAGATCTCAACTTGTCCACTAGTTTGAGGGTGGTAAGGAGAGGCAACTTTGTGAGTAACTCCATGCTTCTTCAAAAGGTTGGCAAAGATTCTGTTGATGAAATGTGAACCTCCATCACTTATGACTATCCTAGGCACTCCAAACCTTGGAAAAATGATGGATTTAAACATCTTGATGACCACTTGTGCGTCATTAGTAGGGCTGGCAATGGCTTCCACCCATTTAGAGACATAATCAACTGCCACTAGAATGTATTGGTCACCAAAAGAGGTTGGGAAGGGTCCCATAAAGTCAATGCCCCAAACATCAAAAACTTCAACTTCTAGTATAAAGTTCTGTGGCATCTCATTCCTCTTGCTTATATTTCCCATTCTTTGGCAAGCATCACATCTTGATATGAATGCATGAGCATCCTTAAACATAGTTGGCCACCAAAATCCAGCTTGTAGGACCTTGGATACTGTCTTGTAAGTGGCAAAGTGCCTGCATAGCTAGAACTATGACAAGCAAACAATATTCCTTCTACCTCTTCCTCAGGTATGCATCTTCTAAACATTCCATCTGAACATTTCTTGTATAAGTAAGGTTCATCCCAGTAGTACCTTCTTACATCACGCAGAAATTTCTTCTTTCTGTAGCCAAAGAAGTTTGGTGGTGGGTATTCAGCTGCAAGGAAGTTTGCTATGTGGCGAAACCATGGTGTGTTTGATGATGAGATCTTTGTTCCTGGCCTGTGATGGCTAGTTGTCCATGCTTATTGCTAGCTTCAGCTGCATAAACTGATTCTTCAGGTAGCCTATCATCAAGGGGTAGATTTTCTTCAACTCTCATCCTTGAAAGATGATCAGCTACTCCATTATCTGCTCCTCTTCTATCCTTGATCTCAAGATCAAATTCTTGCAATAGTAGTATCCATCTCAACAATCTTGGCTTGGCATCTTTCTTAGATAAAAGATACCTTAATGCTGCATGATCAGAGTGAACTATAACTTTGATCCCACCAAGTATGATCGAAATTTCTCAAATGCAAAGACAATAGAAGCTCCTTTTCTGTTGTGGCATACTTGCATTGTGCCTCATCAAGTGTTCTGCTGGCATAGTAGATCACATGTAGCTTCTTGTCTTTCTTTGTCCAAGCACTGCTCCTACTGCATAATCACTTGCATCACACATTATCTCAAAAGGTAGTTCCCAGTTTGGAGGTTGAACCACTGGCGCACTGACCAATGCCTCTTTGATCTTAGTGAAAGCCTTGTGACACTCCTCTGTGAACTCAAAGTTAATATCCTTGCATAATAGGCGTGTTAGCGGCCTTGCTATCTGTGAGAAATCTTTAATGAACCTCCTGTAGAACCCAGCATGTCCTAGGAAGCTTCTGATATCTTTGACTGTCTTGGGCGGCTGAAGGTTTGTCATTACTTCAATCTTGGCCTTTATCAACTTCTATGCCTCTCTTGAGATTCTATGTCCAAGCACTATTCCATCTCTAACCATAAAGTGGCACTTCTCCCAATTTAGAACTAGGTGCTTGTCTTCACATCTCTGTAGCACTCTTCCAAGATTTCCCAAACATGATTCAAAGGAAGAACCATATACTGAGAAATCATCCATGAAAACCTCCATAATCTCTTCTATGAGATCTGTGAATATGGACATCATACACCTTTGGAATGTAGCTGGAGCATTGCACAATCCAAAAGGCATTCTCCTATAAGCATATGTGCCATAGGGACAAGTGAATGTAGTCTTCTCCTGATCATCTGGGTGGATTGGAATTTGGAAAAATCCTGAGTATCCATCCAAGAAACAGTAGTATTGATGATTGGCAAGGCGCTCAAGCATCTGATCTATGAATGGCAAGGGGTAGTGGTCCTTGCGCGTGGAGGAGTTCAGCTTCCTGTAGTCGACACACATTCTGTGTCCAGTGATTGTCTTGTTGGAATGAGCTCATCATGTTCATTCTTGATGACTGTGATCCCTCCTTTCTTTGGCACGACATGTACAGGGCTGACCCATGCACTATCTGATATTGGATAAATCACTCCAGCCTTCAATAGCTTCATTATCTCCTTCTTGACAACTTCCTTTAGGTTTGGGTTTAGCCTCCTTTGATGTTCAATTGAAGAACTAGACTCATCCTCCAGGATGATGCGATGTGCATAGTTCAGGTGAGATTCCTGTTAAATCATCCAAAGAGTAACCAAGAGCCTTTCTATGCTTTCTCCACTACAAAAGACACGCCATTTAACGTCGGTTATTATGTGGGTTAACGTCGGTTTACAACTGACCCTAATAATATGGCGTCGGTTTGATAAGTGTCGTGATATGTGCCGACGTTAAATGTTTCTGTGTCGTTTAAAAAACTGACGTTATATTTAACGTCAAAATTATGGCGTCACTTTAAAAACAGACGCTATACTTAACGTCAAAAATATAGCGTCACTTTTTATTTTGTTTTAAGCGTTGCTTTTCAAACCGACACGATGTGCCATACCATTTATCTATTTACCCTTTTTTTTTTTCTTTTTTAATTTGAAAAACCGTGACACATAAAATTTCAAAACGACAATGAATTTAAAATAAAATGAGGAATCAAGTATTATACAACAAGAAACAAAACATTAAAAATAATAAGTATTACAAAAGTAGAGTTTGCGTTGTTCTCAACCAGATTTCATAACACCGGCTCTTCCTTAGAATAAACCAACAGCGTATCTGAGCTGAAATAACAACATTATATAGCCAAGAAGATCAGTAACCCAAAAGCAATAAGACCACAAAATTCCCAGTTATAATGTGGAAACTCAGAAGCAATCATTAAGCGAACTGTACATATTATTGTTCTAAATGTGAACATTCCTAGAGTAAAAACACATTATCGACCTAAACAAGCTACGGATGCATGACTAAACTTATAGTAAAACATATTTACATACAAGAAAACAGATCCATCGTCTTTGTCAATAAAGACTTTTTAAGCCGTGTCATATTTTCCAAAGTCTTTATTGACAAAGACGATGGATCTGTTTTCTTGTATGTAAACAAGATCACAAAGTAAGATCAAGAAGCAGAAAATGCATAAGCTGTTTTAAAACTCGGAGAGTTATCATAGCAAACCTAGAAAACTAAAGTCACTTCTTCGGCAGAATTGTCTAAGTATTATAATGGAGAAACTTCCATAACAGCCATGACCCATTACATCAAAGAAAAAGAACATACCAGTCTTAAGTGAAATCCATAACAAAACTCTCGTTCAATTCAAATTCCAGTAGTCCTGTACTTGAAATTTATTATCCTGAAATTGTAGATAATTGACACAGATAAGTGTTATGCAGAAGATACATATAATTTTGTTACCTGGTCGCTTTCGATACTAGATGTTTGATGAAGATCGGTGTTAAGCTTTGTGGTCTCATCTTTTAACACTCAGCTGTAAAAAAATTACATTTTGTTATTAACTTGAAACCTTGAAAATAGCTCAAAAATCACAGAGAAATTCTATTTACTGCACACACTAATTAACTTCTTTGGCTTCAGAAACCATACTCATAGACCACTACGAACAGTTTGCCACCAAAGGTACAATATTCGTAATGTTATCACAACATGTTGCTGGTGTTTTAAGTTCAAGACCTGCAACACACACTCACACAGTTATTACCAATTTAAGCTCTGAGCTGCTGACCTTTCCTGATTTTGATCAATTTAGCGACCATAATAAATCTTATGTGAATCAATGCACTGACATACGCAAACAGAACACTGGAATCAAGAGATAACGCTAGTATACGGTGAATTGCTAATTCACTATGAAGTCAAACTATAGAATAAGCATAGGCAAACCTACATCTTGAGTTTTCTCTTTGAAAGTTGCACTGGAAAAGCTACAGTGGAGTCAATGCATAAGATAGGACCTAATGACCAATTCCTCAACACATACATAAGAAAGCGCACAGGGAGAGGATGAAATGGGCTGGAATTGAGATTGAGATTGAGAAATCGATGTCTATGCATCAAACTCGAGTTCAATTGCACATAGACCCTATATTACCAATTCATTGTTTCCGAAATCCCAAATTCCTATGCTTAATCCAAAACTACGCTATGGAAGAGATAAATTACCTTGTAGAAAAAGGTCAAGACGGAATGAGGGAACGATAATTCTCTCCCCGCATTACAAACTCGAGAAATCTGCTTTCGCTGCCTCCGGCCTCAAATCCTAAACCAAAATAGGATTTCAACAATATTGAAGGTTAGATGAAGAAGAAATATTAACGAATCTCACACCAAACATCAAAAATCAATGCAAGGAACCCAAAAATTTCTAGATTTAAACCAAAATTGCGTTTTTGAGCAGATAGGTAGAAAGAGTTTAAGAAGGAATCATGGAAGCACGATTCTCTCCCATGGCAATAGCTCGATACAGAGATCTAGATTTTAGATCGATCTGCTTCTCTTTCTCTGAGCTTGAATCCGTACAGAGATTGGGATGAAGAAGCAATCGGAATCTCGTAAAGTTCCGATAAAGGAAGAAATTAGAAGCAAATCGGAAAAGCTAGTAATTATTTTTGCTGATTCTTTATTTAATGAGCCTTACATAATTAATCCACAAATATTGTTCTACCACGAAACCATACTAATGACGCCAAAATTAATTAATATTTTCGTTGGTTTCTTAAGTGACGCCAAAAACCTTCTTATAAAAAAAAATTACGTCGGTTTAGCAATCGACTTTAATAAATCGACATTATCCAGCGTATTTCTTGTAGTGCTCAGTTCACGAACAAGTAAAGCGATCTCTTCTTTTGTTAGTGCAGCATTAACAATAACAGGATATGTTTCATTAGGACCAAGATATTCATACCTTTGACCAACTGGGAGTTGCTTGAGCTCGGCTTTTGGAGCTCTAAGTGGGCACCATGGGTCGAACTTAACCTTGGTTTGTGATACTTCCTGATCCTTGTCAATGTCTGGTTCTTCTTCTTCTCTCTCTAGGTCCATATAAGCTATTAGCTCCTTATAAGCTTCCTTGGAATCCATGAACTTGACTAAGCATTGAGCTTCTCTTTCCATGTATCCATACTCATTTTCAGCCTTTGTCAAAGCTAGCTCCAAGGGATCAATAAGAAGGAGTTCATCCAGCACTTCTTCTCTTGTCTCTGCGAGCTCTCCAATCCAAAAAGCTTGACCATCTACAGTTGGTTTCTCCATGGACTTGTTTACCTCGAAATTCATCACTATATCTCCAAGATGCAAGTCAATCTTTCCATTCTTGACATCTATTATAGCTCCTGCAGTAGCTAGGAATGGCCTTCCCAAGATAAGAGGGTCTTTAGGTTGGTGTTCCAGCTCAAGAACTACAAAATCAGCAGGAATGTAGCAATCTCCAACCATGATTGGAACATCCATAATAACACCAACAGGGCGGCGAACAGATCTGTCTGCAAAGACTAGAGGATATCTTTGTAGGTTTGAAGTCAGTGATGCCCAATAGCTTGGCCACTGAGTAAGGCATTAAGTTCACACTAGAACCCAAATCACAAAGTGCTCTATGGAAGTGTGTAGAACCGATCTTGCAAGACAAAACAAAACTCCTGGGTCGTTCAGCTTCTCTGGCATGCGATTCTGAAGTATGGCACTACACTCCTTTGTAATCATCATTGCTCCTTCTTCAAGGTTACATTGCTTGTGAGTATGGCTTTCATATATTTCCTGAGAGATGGAGGCATCAATGAAAGGCAACCTTACTGAAAGTTGGCTAACAAGATCCTTGAGTTTGCTTGCTCCTTCTCCTTCTTGGGTTGAGAAAGAACATTTCGTATGGGATCTTTGGCTCATACATCTTGGTTCTTCAGGTGGCTTCTCCACTTCCTCCTGAGTTCCTGGCTCTATTCTGACATGGACTTCCTTAGGTGGTTCAGTTCCATCTCCAATGATAACATACTCCATTGGTTTCTTCTTTATTGACGGCGCCATCGGCCGTGGTACGCGATTTAGGTCGCGCGGCCGCGAGGTATATCAGGAATCTGTTCGGTGGCGGCTAGTGACGGTCTGATCCCACCAGCTGAGGGCATAGTAATAGAACAGATTCCTGATATACCTCTAATTTACCCACTTTTTATACTGTTTTAGCATTGTTTTCTAATGGTTTTTGGCAGGTTTTCTATCTAAAAAGGTAGTTTTACTGTGTTTATAGTGTCTAGAGTCTAAACAGGTGAAATGATGCATTTTGGAGCAAAACCATAGGATTTGCACTTCAAGCCGCTCCATGCACAAGCACCAACTTTAAGAGGGCCCAGAAAAAGATCTACTCAATGGATTTCATCAAGACCAGTTCCCTGCGTGCTCTGATTGAGTTAACTTTCCAACGCAACTGGAATGGCCTCATTTGGATGAGTAGAAAAGGAGTTACAACCAAAAGAGTGAAGACTGTCCAGACGGCTCTATCGAGAACAGCGCCCAACCGCGCAGTCCGGCTGGCCGAGGAACGATGTTCCGCGCTCGGCCAAATCATTCCGTCCGACTGAAGTCTCGGCCAAAGTCCAAACCACTCGGCCGATCACGCATCACGACCCGGGAAACATTGCCCGCGGTCGGCCAAGCCAACGCTCACGCCACACCGCGCACGACCAAAGCGCGCGAGCCGGGAAACAAGCCTCGCGGCCGCGCAACCCTTCCGCGTACCACGGCCGATGCATCCGTCCGAGCCGGGAAAGAACGTCCCACGTCCGGCCGAGAATTCATCGGCCAAATCTCATCCGCTCGACCACGCCGGCCGACCGCGAATCCGTCCGACCCCGACCGTTCCGACTCGCCCACGACCCGATGTCCGGCCGATCGTCCCGCACGACCGTCCCAACGCCGCGGTCGACCCGAAGCCCTTTTTGAAGCCCAAACTTATGTTTTCAAGCCCGGCTTAACCCTAAGCCGCCTCTAGAAAGACCTAGCACTATATATATGGATTTTTAGCCTCTTGAGAAAGAGAGCCGCCCTTGTATTTCGATTTCCTACTCTAAGTTTTATTGCAATCATGTTTTCTTCATCTCTATGTGTGTTTGCTTTGATCATGTCTGAGTAATCCACTAGTTAGGTTGCTAGGGTTACTATTCAATGAGTTGCTTGCATGATCTTTGATTTCAATGATTAGCTAGGGATTATATTAGAGTCTTTGTCTCGTCTTGTGCACTTAACTAATGCTGATTGCTTTACCGCGCATCTAGTAATCCGATCTTAGGTTGATTTGAGCCTCGACAGTGCTGTATCATTCGCCGGACATATTCTTTGACAAGCTAGGTTTCTTAGACTGCGAAAGTTGATCTATCTATATCTAGTGAACTGTATCAGAACCTATTCATTCTAATGCTTGATTAATCACCTAGGGACATACCAAAAGTTTAGCGACTAGGTAGATTAACAAAGGAGCCGGAGCCTCGAAAGTGGAATGGTTTTATATTCGTGATCTGTGTTCTAGATGGTTCTTAATATCCCAATATCCCTAATCAATTAATCTATCATTGTTTCATTGATCATTGCTTGCTTCTCTGCGATAGCCCCTATGACCTAGCGCTTTTCCTTTATTGTTTACAACCTCGTTATACTTGCTAGTTCGGTTCACCATTACAACCTCAATCATACTTTTGTTTTAGCTTGATCCAAAATCCATAGTTTCAAAGTGTACTCAATAGCCAGTCCTTGTGTTCGATACCCATACTTCCGCGATCTGTGCACTTGCAGAGGTCTAGGAGTTTGGTAAAACCTGACTCCGCATCAAGTTTTTGGCGCCGTTGCCGGGGACTGCAGCAGTACCTTTGGAACTCGACTAGGATCTAGTCTAGAACCTTTTCCTGTTTTGCTTTTCTTTTGCTTTTGAATTTTTAGTTTTTGATTTCTTTTCTTTGATTTTTGCTTTTGTTTTTGTTTTTCCCTTTTGATTTAAGTTTGTTTCCTAGACTCTTTTCAGGTGCATGACTAGGAGGTCCAACAAGGACAACCTAGTTGAACATCCAGAGATAGACAAGCTTGAGAAGCAACTTAGGAAGCAGAAAGCCCAAGAGATGGCCGACGAAGCAGCTCGCGCTCACGCCGCTGAAGTGGCGCGCGCTCAAGAAGAAGGAAGAGATCCACCTCCTCCTCCTCCTAATCCACAAGACCTGCTGGAGATGTGAATGCACAACCTCAAGCTGGAGCACCTACAATCGGAGACTATGACTCTGCCGATGCTTTCTTCATGGATAGAAACCCTATCCATCCACCACTTCCTGCAAGGAATGACTATGAGATCAAGCCTCAGATCATAGCATTGGTTAGACAGAACCAATTCAATGGCCTTCCAGCTGAGCATCCCTCTTGATCACATAGAAAACTTTGAAGAAATTTGCAGCACTACAAGATCCAATGGAGTCTCTGCTGACTACCTTAAGTGCAAGCTCTTTTCATTCTCTCTTGGCGACAAAGCTTCAAGATGGTTGAAGTCTCTGCCAGCTCACTCCATCACCACTTGGGATGAGTACAAGGCTGCTTTCATCAACCACTTCTACACCAAGCAAAGATCAATTTCTGTGAGGAACAAGATCTCCACTTTCGCCAAGCCAACAATGAATCTTTCTATGAGGCGCTAGATCGATTCAAGGAGTACATTAGGGACTGCCCTAATCATGGTTTCAATGAGGGAAACCTATGGAACATCTTCTATCGTGGCATAGACCACAAGTACAAGCTTTCATTGGATACACAAGCAATGGAAACTTCATGACCAAGACTGTTGATGAAGCTAAGGTTCTTATTGAGAATCTTGCAGCTAGTGATTGTAACAACTGTCCTGATTATGACCGCTCAAGCCGCACCACTACTAGCTCCCCTGATTCTTTTCAAATGACTGAACTCAAGAACATGATGGCTCAAGTTCTTAAGGGACAGCTCAAGCATATCAATGCAATAGAAGGGATGAGTGATGCTAATGAAGACCCATCAAGAGAATGCATGGGAGATTTCTCTAATGAAGCCAATGAAGAAGATGTGAACTACATTGGAAACTATGGGAACAAGGGATACAATCCAAGCTATCGCCCAAACCCCAACATGTCTTATAGAAACCCCAATGTGGAGAATCCTCAAGACCAAGTGTATCCTCCAAGGTATCCACAACAACAAAGACCTCCTTACCAATCTCAAGGAAGTCAATTTCAGCCAAGGCAAGGATATGAGCAGAGATCATCATATCCACCCAAGGAGCCATATGCTTCTTCACCAAATCAAGCTCCTCCAAACCAACAAGGTGGGAGATTTGAAGGAATCCTCCAACAGATCATGGATGGCCAGAAGAGAAACACTAAAGAGATGTATGAGAAGATGGACACTTTGTTCAGCAATCTCAACACCAAGTATGATGCTGTTGCCACTCATGTGAAGAAACTAGAGACTCAAGTCACTCAAACTATGGAAGCTGTTAAGAGACAGGAAGCTGAATCCAAGAAGTCCTTTTGCAACTCAGCCGCCATAGAAGAAAGATTTGAAGACCAAGTTCCAGAATGGATGCTTTCAAAACCTACTGTTGATTGCATGATTTGGCCTGAAGAGAATTACCCAGAGAGAGAGTCCAATCGAGCTAGAAAGAGAAGACTCTTCCCAAAGATTATCCCCAAGACAGATAACTCAGGAAAGTTTGTTGTGCCTTGTATCATTGATGATAAGGATTTTGTGTGTGGATGTGAAAAGATATGAAATGAGATGGTGGAATGCAATCAGTGGTATATGATGAGGTGGTAAGATGCAAACACAAACACAGTCAACAATTCCCTTTAACCATGATAGTTGATGTAGTACAAAGGGTTATCAATCCAAAATGGGAAACTTGTCACTCTATGAGAATATGAAACAACCAGAAAGTCAAGCAAGCAGTTATAGATTTGAAGTAACACTAACAACCTAAAAAAATGAAAAGCAGTGCAATAAAAGTAAACAAAGCAGTGAAGTACAGCTCGACCAAGACTCGAGTCGAGTCAGAGCAAAGTACCAGCTCGATCGAGTTTAGGGACGAGTTGAGACAAACAAAGCTAAAGGTGACGACTTTAACAAGATAAAGAGAGAATTAGGGTTCAAGACAGGGTTTTGCAATCAAAGGAATCTACACTTAATCAATCTAGCTCTTAAAACTCCTTGTATCAAGGCTTCTCTTGATATTGGGCTTCTCAATGCCTAGCCAACCCTTTCCCAAGGTGAAGGCTATCAACCAAGGAATGATCTCAGAAACAGGGGGTTAGCCAGTGAGAATCAAACCTTGGAGGCTATAGGATCATTGCCCAAACTAATCCATCCAACCCCTTAGACCTCTATTGTCTAGAGCAAGAGATATTGGAGCTCTTAGTGGATCTTTTCCAGCGAATGCCATCACTTTCGTGTGGGGAGTCGCCTAAGGACTTACAAGCCAGGGGTAGTGGTCATGTAGCCTTAAGATCTATCCAAAAGAGAGAGAATCTAGATTAAGACCATAAGCTAGAAGGATTAAGCATATGAAACCTCTAATCTATCCCATCTCAAACCCTAATGGGTAACTACTCACTACACATGAATGTAAACACAAGCAAATGCAATAAAAGAGACATCATAAGAAAGAGGAGATGAAATTAAACAACTTTTATTGAAATAAGCAAGTGCAAATACAAAGAGAGATTAATCCAGGATCTAGGATTCAAGAAGCAAGAGCTTCAAGAACACAAAGATGGGATTAGATCTCTAAAAAGTAAAAGACAATAAATTAAAAGAAACTAAAACAAAATAATCTAAAGCTTGGTGGTTTTTTCGTGGCTTAGAGCCTTTAAATACAAGAGGATTAGGTTTAGGGTCAAAGGAAAGTCAAGGGGGAAGCAACATTTTTCGGGTTTGACTTTGACTTCCAGCTCGATCGAGTTGAAGCTTGGCCGGTCGAGTTGAGGAACTCGACCGGTTGGTCGAGTAGACGGTCGAGCTGGTCTTCAAGATGGCTTCTCCCTTCTTCCTTTGCGTATCCAGTTGAGCTGCTTCCATGTGCCAAGTCCCTCCATGCTCCTTGTCCCATATGCTCCAGAATGCTCCAAAAGACCTATTTCAAAGGACCAAACATGCATATGTATGCAAATGCAACCTAAAACTAACATGAATGCATAAGAAGAGAAAAGGAACAAGATATGATGCAAATGGAAGCTAAAACTATGCAAAAGATGCATAAAAGATGTGCTAAAACTATGTAAAATGCAAGTACATCAACACCCCCAAACTTGAACTTTGCTTGCCCTCAAGCAAACAAATAGAACAAGAAAGAGATGAGGTTTGAAAAAGCTGATTCAACACTTAAAAACATGTCCTCAAAAGCGATTTGCTAAATGTCCAACTTAGAGATTCTAGAATGCAACAAGGTGAGAGATATTCATTAAGATTTAACCATGCTTATCAACATCAATCCCACTTCACAGTCACTCAAACAATGCATTCAAATCAGCAAATCCCTTTAACATTCATTAAGCAAAAACAGTGAACCAAAAACATGCAAGATCAATCAACTCATTTGGTTTCAAGGGTTTATGGGTTAAGAGACAAAGAGGGTCTCTTTTGTATGGTGGTTTAGTAACAGGGATCTCTCAAGAAAGTGGCTTTGCTTTGGCAGAAGGCTAAGTGTTAGAACCAAAGATGATGCAAGAACAGCAGCTCGAGCCGCCTAATCCTAACTCGATCGAGTTCAACACTTAGAGCTTTTTAGAACAAAATCCTAACTACCCTTTTTGGCATTTCGCCTTTGAAACTGAGGAGGTAACATTTGCTCACTTAGGGAACTTTTCTTTCCTTTTTGGACACTTGAGGCTTTGCCTTCTTTTCATTCTACTTAGAACCCTTTTTTTTTTTTTAACTTCCCAAACCTTTACTAGACCCTTTTTAACACTGCCAACTCCCTGGACTTAACTAAACTCTTTTTCCTTTGGGTTTTTCCCAACTTTTACCACTTTTCTGGTTTTTACACCCAACTCGATCGAGCTCGAGTTGGCACCCCCAAACTTAGCCTGAAAACAATCCCAAGAGAACTAGACAACTAGAACTACTGCCCCTGCCGGTTTAAACACAACACCTTATGCTAAGCAAAGCCAAGAAAGGTTCTCACATTCGCACAAGAGATAATAATGGGGTTTGAAATGAAAAGGCTTAGGTTTAAGGTGTGGTAACTGTCTCAAAGATAGAGATCAGCTATCTGGACAAGCAAAAGGGATATGAAAATAGGTAAAGAATGTCCAGATATGTATGTGGTAGCCATGAGTTGAAATCAAATGCAAGCATTGGTAATTAAAGATCAAGTTATGGTTCAAATAGATAGGGAAATGCATCAAATCACAGCAATGGTTGAATGAGATGTGCATGCAGCGATATGATCAAGATAAACATGGTTCTTGCTGCTCAATCAATCTCACCCTAATGCACAAAAGAATCTAAAAACAGGGCACTCAAGAAATCGCAAAAGATGGACAAGTTTTCAAAGTCAAATCAACAATGCAAGTGAAAAATGCAATCCTAAACAAGTCTAACAAATATGAATGCAAAAAGATGAAAATATTTTTGGATTTTTTGAAAATTTTATGATTTTTTTGGTTTTTCTATGCAAAAGATAAATGAAAAACTAAGAACAAAGAAAACAAGGTTAAATCATCTCTTGAACCCTCCCCCAAACTTAAATCACACAGTCCCTTGTGTGAGAAAAATTCAGTGAAAGATTCAAGAGGGCAAAACCAAGAAAAAACAAGAACAAATGCAAGAAAATATGAAATGGTATATACAAGGGTTGGTGTTTGGATACCTCAGTGCCCCCCAAAGAACTGGGAGGCTAGGTCGTGGTCTGGAGATGGGAGACGGCCATCAGGAGCACTCCACTCAACTGGGGTTGCCTCTTGCGGCTCACTCGATCGAGCTTGCTCTTGACTCGATCGAGTTGTGCCTCGAGTTGCCACTCGTCTTCCTAAAACCTGCTCCTGTGAGACTCAGCCAAGAAAAATCATAAAATAAAAGGATAAAGTATAAATGCATAAGATAGACATGGGAATTCCTCCCAAGTGAGCTTGTTTTAGGTCTCTTAGCTTGACCTTACCCCTTTTTAGGCCGGGGTTGGATCTTCTAGAGGAGTGATGATCTCCTCTGTGGGGGTCATTCCTAGATATGGCTTGCATCTATGTCCATTCACTGTGAATTCCTTCCCCTCTTGATTGAGCAAAGTGAGGGACCCATAGGGTAGAACTTCGTGAATCTTGAATGGTCCCGCCCACTTTGACCTCAGCTTCCCGGGAAACAACCTTAGCTTGGAGTTATACAAGAGCACACTGTCCCCAACCTTGAAGTCCTTAAGGCGAATCAGTTTGTCGTGGGCTGCCTTGGTTCTCATCTTGTAAATCCTAGAGTTCTCATAGGCATTCATTCTTATCTCCTCCAGCTCAAACAAGTTCATTACCCTCCTTTCTTGTGCTGCCTTTATATCAAAGTTCAGCATCTTTACTGCCCATAAAGCCTTATATTCGACCTCCACAGGTAAGTGGCAGTCCTTCCCATACAGCAAATTGAAAGGAGACCTTCCAATGGGGGTTTTGTAGGCTGTCCTATAAGCCCAAAGTGCCTCATCAAGCCTTGCTGCCCAGTCTTTCCTAGTGAAGCTCACAGTCTTCTCCAATATGGCCTTGATCTGTCTGTTGGAGACTTCAACTTGCCCACTGGTTTGAGGGTGATAAGGCGTGGCGACCTTGTGTTTTACTCCGTGGCTTCTCATCAACTTTTCAAACACCTTGTTGATGAAATGGGAGCCTCCATCTGAAATAACAACCCTTGGGATGCCGAACCTTGGAAAGATGATGGTTCTGAAAAGCTTGACAACCACCTTGGCGTCACAGGTTGGGCAGGGAATGGCTTCAATCCATTTGGATACATAGTCTACAGCAACCAAAATGTAGTTGTGCCCGTTTGAAGAGGGTTTGAAAGGTCCCATGAAGTCTATTCCCCATACATCAAAAATCTCAACTCTAGAATTGGGTTTAGTGGCATCTCGTCCCTCTTGGTGATCCCTCCTTTCCTTTGGCATGGATCACACTTGGCAATGTAGTCTGCTGCATCCTTAAACAAAGTAGGCCACCATAAACCCAGATTGCAAAACCTTAGTTGCTGTTTTGAATGTAGCAAAGTGACCTCCATAAGCTGACCCATGGCAATGCTCTAGAACTCCTTGCACATCCTCTTCAGCAATGCATCTCCTGTAAATGCTGTCTGGTCCTCTCTTGTACAGGTAGGGCTCATCCCAATAGTAATGCCTAGCATCCTTGAAGAATTTCTTCCTCTTGTAAGCATCAAAGCTACTAGGGACTTCTCCGGACACCATGAAGTTCACTATATCAGCATACCATGGCAAATTCTCATCACGCAGAGCCTTAACTTCTTCCAGGCTTTCTCATCAAAACTCTCCTTCAAGATCATGATTGCCATAAGCTGTTCTTCAGGCATAGAATCATTGATGGGGATCATGTCTTCAACTCGCATCCTAGAGAGATGATCAGCAACTCCATTTTCTACTCCCTTTTTGTCCACAACTTCTATATCAAACTCTTGAAGCAAAAGGATCCATCTGAGAAGTCTTGGCTTTGTATCTTTTTAGCGAAGATGTGTCTAAGGGCAGCATGGTCAGTGTGCACAATCACCTTGGATCCAACTATATAGCTTCGAAACTTCTCAAAGGCAAAGACTATGGCAAGGAGTTCCTTCTCTGTGGTTGCATACTTGCACTGAGCATCATCCATAGTCTTGCTTGCATAGTAGATGACATTGAGTTTCTTGTCTATCTTTTGGCCAAGCACTGCTCCTACTGCATAGTCAGATGCATCACACATAATCTCAAATGGGTGATCCCAGTTTGGAGCTTGTACTATTGGCGCAGATACCAGAGCATCCTTCAGCAAGGTCCAAGACTTGTGGCATTCTTCATCAAACTCAAAATCTGTCTCCTTGCATCCTTGTCAAGGGTCCTTCTTTGTAGAACCCTGCGTGACCCAGAAAACTCCTTATGTCCTTCACAGTCTTGGGAACAGGGAGCTGCAACATGACATCCACCTTAGCTCGATCGAGCTCGATCCCCTTCTCGGAAATCTTGTGTCCAAGCACAATCCCTTCTCGAACCATGAAGTGGCACTTCTCCCAGTTGAGTACTAGATTGGTCTCCTCACACCTCTGCAACACCCTGCACAAGTTAGACAAACATGAGGAGAAGGATGCTCCATAGACTGAGAAATCGTCCATGAAGACTTCTACCATCTCCTCTATCAGATCTGAAAAAATGGAGGTCATGCACCTCTGGAAAGTAGCTGGAGCATTGCACAGCCCAAATGGCATCCTTCGATAAGCAAAGGTGCCATAAGGGCATGTGAAAGTGGTCTTCTCCTGATCATTAGGGTGGATCGGGATTTGGAAGAAACCACTGTAGCCATCAAGAAAACAATAAAAGGGGTGGTTTGCCAATCTTTCTAACATCTGATCAATGAAAGGGAGAGGGAAATGATCCTTTCTAGATGCTGAATTTAGCTTCCTATAGTCAATACACATGCGATGCCCCACTATTGTTCTAGTGGGAATCAGCTCCTCTTTGTCGTTTTTAATGACAGTGATCCCCCCTTTCTTTGGGACGCAATGAACTGGAGATATCCAAGTGCTATCACTGATGGGATAGATTATCCCAGCATCAAGCAACTTGAGTATCTCTTTCTTCACTACTTCCTTTAGATTGGGGTTCAACCTTCTCTGAGGTTCAATGCTTGACTTACTTTCATCCTCTAGATGAATCCTATGGATGCATAGGTCAGGGGAGATCCCCTTGATATCATCTAGAGTGTAACCTATTGCCTTTCTGTACTTTCTCAATTCAACAAGCAAAGCACTCAACTGTTCAGGTTCCAAATCAGAGTTCACAATGACAGGGTAAGTTGAGTTTTCACCCAGAAATGCATACCTGAGGCCCTCAGGCAAAGGTTTGAGGTCGACTTTAGGCGCCTTAAGCTCAGACCAATCTCCTTGAGCTTGCTCCTTGCTCTCAGCCCCCAGCTCGATCGAGTTCGTTTGTTCGAAACTCGACTCGATCGAGTTCTTGATCGAGCTCACTGCCATGACTTCGCAAACTGGCCTGTCCAATCTCTCAATGCTCAGAATGTTTGGAACTGGTCTGAAGGTGTCAAGGAGCTTCTTGTACTCATCAGTTTCTGAGCTCACATATCCCTCTGAAGAATCCTTGGTCAAAGCAACTTGTAGGGATCCTCTGTTGATAACTCTTCTAGAAGCTCATCTGCCAACTGATCCATTTCCTCAACATAAAAGAGCTGACCTTCTATAGTTGGTTTCCTCATTGTATCCTTGATATCAAACTTCATCTTAGGTCCTTTCCCAAGTTTAACTCAATTGTTCCTTCACAGACATCTATCATTGCTCTTGCTGTAGCTAGGAATGGCCTTCCTAGAATCAATGGATCTGTTGGTTCCTCATCCATCTCAAGCACAATGAAGTCTGTGGGGATTTCCACATTCCCTATCCTCAAAGGCAGGTCTTCAAGCATCCCAGTTGGTAACCTTATCGATCTATCTGCCAAGACTAGTGAGATTCCGCAGGCTTGGTACTTGTGATATCCCAGTCTCTTTGCTACAGACAAAGGCATGAGGCTGACAGATGATCCTAGATCGCAGAGACTGTTTTTGAAAGATAGGGGTCCCAACATGCAGGGCAAAGTGAAACTCCCCGGATCTTCCTTTTTGTCGGAGATGACCTTCCGCTGAATGATTGCACTGCACTCGCGGGTCAACACTACCATCCCTTGTGCTTCCCTGGTTCTTTGCTGAACAGCATCCTTCAGAAATTTCTGATAAGGTGGAATGAGCATCAAGGTCGATGAAGGGCAACTTCAACTCAAGCTGTCTCATTAGTTCATCAAACTTGGCCTTGTGTGCTTCCAACAGTTGTTTCTTGAACCTTCCTGGAAAGGGCAGAGGGGGCTTGTATGGTGGTGGTCCTGCTGGAGTGTCTTTCTTCTTTGCAACAGGTTTAGCTGGTTGGCTGGAGTTTGCTTTGTCTGCTCTCTTCTGGCTCGATCGAGCTCTGGTTTGTCTTGCAGTGTCTCAGTTTCTCCAGCTCGATCGAGTTCTGGTTCAGGGTTTTGTTCCAGCTCGATCGAGTTCGGGTCGAGTTATCAGCATAGTCGACTAAATCCTCCCCTTCCTCGTCATCGATGTCCACAGCGATTTGGGGTGGGCTACCTCTACTAGGGAATTGCTCCCACTTCTTAGTGTAACTGCTTGGGCATACTCTTGTGGTGAAGAGGATGATGCACTTGAAGACTCAATGATTTGGACTCTTGAAGTCAATGACTCTAGTTTAGAGTGTATCTCAACCAGCTTGTTGTTCATTTCCAGAGAACCTTTGGCTTGCCCTTGTAAAAGTTGTTGGAGCATTTCCTTCATATCCCAATCTTGAGTTGGTTGGGTATGAGTAGTCCTTGTGTTGAACCTTGTGGAACATTGTTGTTGGTGCGGCCAGGGGGCTTGATAATTGTTGTATCCCCTTGTTGAGGATTCCTATAGCTTCCTTGTCTATTTTGAATGTAGCAAACTTCTTGTGTTGTCTCCTCCCCTTCCTGGTCCTTGACTAAGGTTTGTTCTGAGACATAGTTGACATGCTTGGCAGGGAATTGGGCTAGGATCAGTTTGTCCAACTTCGAGTTGAGTGCAAGCATGTCTTTTCTCATCTGAGCGTCCAGCTCGATCGAGCGCGCGGTCGAGCTCCATACTTTCATACTCTCCATAGCATTCTGTTGATATGGCCATGTTCTCCACAAGTTGCCAGCCATCATCTACATCCTGGTTGAGGAAGTTCCCATTGCTAGCTGTGTCTAGCATCTCCCTATACCTAGGCAAGCATCCTCTATAAAGAGTGGAGAGTAGGATTCATTGTTGAATCCATGGTGTGGGCACTGACTTGTGTAGCCTTTGAACCTCTCCCAAGCCTCTGCGAATGTCTCATTGTTTCGCTGGATGAAGCTGGATATCTCTCCTCTAAGCTTGGCTGTGCGACCGGTGGAGAAAAACTTAGCAAGAAAGGCCTTCTTGCATTCATCCCAAGTGGTGATTGTGCCATGGGGCAAGCTCTTCTCCCATTGGTGAGCTTTGTCAGCTAGAGACATAGGAAAGAGTCTCAGCTTGATGGCATCTTCAGAGACACCATTGATCTTTGTCAAATCACAAAGCCTATCAAACTCATCAAGGTGGTCAATGGGGTCTTCACTTGGCAATCCATGGAACATCTTGTTCTGACAAGGTTGATCATTCCCAGCTTGATCTCAAAGTTGTGGTTCTGCACTGGTGGTGGAACAATCCCTTGTCTCTGTTGGTGGCGGTTTGGAGCATCTCCTTGACCAATCGGTCGAGTTTGCCTAGCTCGACCGAGTCCATTGCCCAAAGGGTTTCCATTCCCCTCTGGTACATCCATTGTATCAGCAACAAGCACCTCAGGTTCCTCTTGTACCCTCTGTGACCTCTGAACCCTCTTTCTACCCGTTGTAATGTCTAGCTCGACCAAGTCTTCAGTTAGACCGACTCGATCGAGTTCGCATACACCTGCAAAAAGAGACAAAAACCCAGCAGTACAATAGAACAGGGGTGGTATAGCTTGATCGTCCAAGTATGTTTGAAACTCAAATGCAACAAAAATATCCCAAATCGGCAACGGCGCCAAATTGATGATTTGTTGTGTGTGAAAAGAATGAAATGAGAGTGGAATGCAACAGTGGTAAATGAAGGTGGTAAGATGCAAACACAAACACAGTCAACAATTCCTCTTAACCATCATAGTCATTGAAGTATAAGAGGTTATCAATCCAAAATGGGAAACTTGTCACTCTATGAGAATATGAAACAACCAGAAAGTCAAGCAAGCAGTTATAGATTTAAGTAACACTAACAACCTAAGAAATGAAAATGCAGTGCAATAAAAGTAAACAAAGCAGTAAAGCAAGTCAGCTCGACCAAGGACTCGAGTCGAGTTGGAACAGAGTACCGAGCTCGATCGAGTTTAGGGTCGAGTTAGCAAAAGCAGTAAAGGTGACGACTTTAACAAGATAAAGAGAGAATTAGGGTTCAAGACAGGGTTTTGCAATCAAAGGAATCTACACTTAATCATCTAGCTCTTAAAACTCCTTGTATCAAGGCTTCTCTTGATATTGGGCTTCTCAATGCCTAGCCAACCCTTTCCCAAGGTGGAGGCTATCAACCAAGGAATGATCTCAGAAACAGGGGGTTAGCCAGTGAGAATCAAACCTTGGAGGCCATAGGATCATTGCCCAAACTAATCCATCCAACCCCTTAGACCTCTATTGTCTAGAGCAAGAGATATTGGAGCTCTTAGTGGATCTTTTCCAGCGAATGCCATCACTTCCGTGTGGGGATCGCCTAAGGACTTACAAGCCAGGGGTAGTGGTCATGTAGCCTTAAGATCTATCCAAAAGAGAGAGAATCTAGATTAAGACCATAAGCTAGAAGGATTAAGCATATGAAACCTCTAATCTATCCCATCTCAAACCCTAATGGGAAACTACTCACTACACATGAATGTAAACACAAGCAAATGCAATGAAATAGACATCATAAGAAAGAGGAGATGAAATTAAAAACTTTTATTGAAATAAGCAAGTGCAAATACAAAGCAAATAATCA